TTCCTAAACCCAAAAGGGTAAAAATAGGACCGAAAATCGTTGATTGTGTTTTCATAGGATATGCGACTAATAGTAAAGCATATCGATTTCTGGTTCATAAATCAGAAAATCCCGACATTCATAATAATACGGTTATAGAATCAGATAATGCTGAGTTCTTTGAAAATATATATCCGTATAAAAAGGAATGTGAGTCGATTGGTGAAGGATCTAAACGACCTCGGGAAGAAACAAAAGAAAGTACACTTAACAAGAGGATCCAAGACGTAGTAAACGTCAAAGAACGTCTACTTCTTTTGGACCAGATTTTGTGACTTTCTTATTGGAAAATGAGCCTCAAACATTTAAAGAAGCTATGTCTTCTTCGGAATCATTGTTATGGAAAGAGGCGGTCAATAGTGAAATAGAATCCATACTGAACAACCATACATGGGAATTGGTTGATCTTCCTCCTGGAAATAAACCGTTGGGTTCTAAATGGATCTTTAAGAGGAAAATGAAAGATGATGGCACTGTTGACAAGTATAAGGCAAGACTTGTGGTCAAAGGGTATAGACAACGAGAAGGTCTTGACTATTTTGATACATACTCTCCAGTTACAAGAATTACATCCATACGAACTTTAGTAGCGTTAGCTGCAGTTTATGGTCTTGAAATTCATCAAATGGATGTTAAGACGGCCTTCTTAAATGGAGAGTTGGAGGAAGAAATCTACATGGAACAACCTGAAGGGTTTGTGGTTCCAGGTAAAGAAAAGAAGGTCTGTAGACTTGTTAAGTCCCTTTACGGATTAAAACAAGCACCCAAACAATGGCATGCTAAATTTGACCAAACAATGTTGTCAAATGGATTTAAGATAAATGAATGTGATAAATGTGTGTACATTAAAAATGTTCCAAATCACATAGTCATTGTTTGCTTATATGTGGATGATATGCTCATAATGAGTAATGACATTGCCAACATAAATGCTACTAAGCGTATGCTAACTAGCAAGTTTGATATGAAAGACTTGGGAGTTGCTGATTTAATTTTGGGAATTAAGATCCATAAGACTTCTCAAGGTCTAGCATTGTCACAATCTCATTATATTAAGACAGTACTTGAAAAATTCAAGCACTTGGGCTTTAAAGTTGCAAAGACTCCAATTGATGTGAATCTTGCATTAGAAAAGAACAAAGGCCAGAGCATATCACAATTGGATTATGCTCGTGTGTTGGGTTGCTTAATGTACATCATGAATTGTACACGACCAGATATAGCTTGTGCTATAAGTAAATTGAGTCGATATACGAGTAATCCAGGCCAATCTCATTGGATGGCCATGAAACGAGTTTTGGGGTATTTAGTACATACCCAGGACTTTGCTTTGCACTACAATAAATATCCTGCGGTCATTGAGGGATACTGTGATGCAAATTGGATCACCGGATCAACTGATTCCAAGTCCACAAGTGGATATGTATTCACTATTGGTGGAGGAGCGGTATCTTGGAAGTCATCCAAACAAACTTGTATTGCCCGCTCTACAATGGAGGCTGAGTTCATAGCCTTGGATAAAGCCGGTGAAGAAGCTGAATGGCTCCGGAATTTCTTGGAAGATATTCCATTTTGGCCCAAACCGTTGGCACCAATATGCATACATTGTGATAGTCAAGCGGCAATTGGAAGAGCTGGGAGCGTTATGTATATCGGTAAGTCTCGCCATATACGACGAAGACATAAAACTGTTAGACAATTACTCTCTAGAGGAATTATCACGATTGACTATGTAAAGTCAAGTGATAATGTGTCGGATCCACTTACAAAAGGCCTAACTAGAGAGGTAGTTGAGAAGTCATCAAGGGGAATGGGACTGTGGCCGAGAACAAGTCATAGTGGCGGTAACTCTACCTAGAAGACTGGAGATCCCAAGATCTAGGTTCAAGGAGATCAAACAAAGTCATTTATGACGGTTCAACATTGTCAACTAAACTTTTGGTCCATTCTCGTGATGAGACAATGTTCAGTACCACGGATAAAGCATTAAGGCTTTTTAATGATTTCTAAATTTGATACGGGGTATATCAAATAGTGTATCTACGGGATGACACGTTTAGGAATCACCTATGTAAGTGTGAAGTGTTAGCCGCTTCAAAGAGAACATTGTAAGGCCAGTTCTCTACGCACTTATGAAACCAGGCGGTGTTCATGGCTGAAACGAACACAACAATGAGAACCAAAGACGGTTAAGGGTTGGTTGTGTGACTTGTGGTTGTCTAGGTATACACTAAAGTTCGACGGTTCAAAGATATCAAATCTACCGATTGATCGAGTATATCCGACATAAGTTCACTACGGAAAGTTCAAAGAAAAACCTACTTATCCAGATGCAATTAATCCTTACTTGCGAATCACACAGTTTTTCATGCATACTTCCGTGATATAGCTATTCCCCATTCATGTGGGGGATTGTTGGGTTTTGGATGTATTTAATTAATATATATTAAATACTTAAAAGAGGGTGAATGGGAAATGGAGGGAAATGAAATTTTTGAGTGAAATTTAAGTTCCCCCCTTGGCAAATGGGCATTGTCCCATATTGGAAGAGGAAGAGGTTTTTTATAGGTATATAAGCAATTGCTCTTCTTCTAGCTCTTAAAGAGTTGAGAAGAAGGCAAGCCTCGCGCCGTCGCGCTCGCTCGGCTCGGCTTCGGCTTCGGCTTCGGCGACGGCTACGGCTACGGCTTCGGCTTCGGTTTCGGCTTCGGCTTCGGCTTCAGCTTCGGCTTAAATATTTATTTTAATAACAGAATATTAATATTAAATATTAATATTAAATCCAATCCGTTTTTCTGTTTTGGTAACAGAAAAGTAACTACCCTCTTCAATTTTCCCTCTTTATTATTGAGTAAATGGCCATTTATGTAATGGCATTTATGCTGTGGGCGTTTTTGCATAAACAGCCATTTTGAAGAGTTGCACCTCTTCAGATTTCAGCCCAACTTTGGCTATAAATACAACACTATTCTGCTCAGAATTTCACTACGATTTTCTGAGTTTTCTCTCCTGCTTCTGCATACTTTTAGCATCAAACAAAGTAAAAAGTAAGTGTGATTTGCTACTGAACTTTGTGTTCGCTGAAACATTGGGGTTTGAAGTACCACTACACCAGTGTGTAATTCGTTCTATCCTGGGAGGAAATAATCCATAACCTTGGGTACTAGGAGGGAATTAAATTCCTTAAGGAAACACTGTGAATTCAGTGGGCTCGAATTGGTTTTATGTCATTTCTGTTTATGTTCATTTCTGTTTATATTCATTTATATTTCCAGAATTATTTTACAAATACAGCCTAGTAACATTTATAATAGTATGAAACCTATTTCAACTAGAAACAGGAAAACATATTCTTATATTTATTCTAACTGCAAATCCTGCTTAGACATGAATTAAATAAATCAAATCTTAAATAATTAAGGTTTCCTACTGCAAGTTCGAATTAATTTTCCAACAACCATGAAAAATGTAATTCAGCTGAAAGAGATTATAACATGTCCGAGTAACATATAAATAAATAATATACGTGCTTTCATCTTGTGCTAATTTACTGTTTATGCTAACTTCCCTTTGTTACGTGAACTTAAAAGCCACATATAAAAGTTATGTGTCCTTTTTTTCTTATGTGTTCTCTTTTTGTGGTTTTTTCCCCAATATAAATAAAAAAGCCATACAAAAGTTTTTGTCTGCTCGCTCTTGATTGTTACTGATTAATGGTATCTTAAGATTCATTTAAAAAGAGGGAAGCCCAGATTTAAGCTTTCAACTTTTTCTTAATGGTTGTAAGGCTAGATAATTAAACAAGGAACTTTGAGACACTTTTTTTATGCATCCAATATTTATATCCTTACTTCCTTACTTGGAAAGAATTTATGAAAACAATAAAACAATTTAAAATATTCTTGTAACTAAATCTGTTGTTTTTCCTTTTGTTGTGCACAATTGCATTTACATTCTACAGGAACCCATAAAAAAAGGCTGCATATATATTTTACAGGAAGTACGAGTAATGATCGTTTGTGACATTATAATAGAAAGAATAAGAGGCAAATACTTTTGCTGGCCAAATACAGTTTCTTTAATATGCCTTTAGGTGCATTGTGGAAACAATCTTTTAGGAACAAAACAAGTATGTTAGTAATATCGTGTCTTCGTAAAACTCAAAGGAGTAAATCACCCACTTCTAATCAATTGTATTGAAAATTGAGTACTATTATTATACTTTAAAATTTTAAATTGCCATTGACAATTGGATATTTGACAGTACTTTAACAGCATAAAGTGTTTACTTGTCTTTGAAGGTACTATAAAACTTTTCTTATGTTGTTTGTTGCTTGCTTCTGTTTCTGGTATAATATGAGCGACAACTGAGCTGGGCACTGTAAGCTGATACTCAAAAGGGAATGACGAGGCGCTTTGCTTGAAGATACACATTTTTTATATTTTATGGGTATTGCATCAATAATACCTCGTTGTAATCGCTACTTATGGTTGACTGATAGCAGTAGCGTTGTAGATTCTTTTGTCCTCTTTTGCAAATATTCTACCATCCTACGATTTTGTATGATGTATCGAAAAGCCTATTGGTTATGATAGTCCAATTTTTTATCTATAGATAGAGCACTATTCCATTGGCATCAGAACACTTAGAAAAAAAACAAGCATGATGCTTAATATGTTAGCATATATATATATATATAGAGAGCGCGCGCGCGCATTATGGGTGATAGAAAAGATACATTTTTTCCATCAATATATGACGACTAGGGTTCTTATGAAAATTTTTTCTCTGCATCTTAGACAAGATTAGGAGGTTGCGGACAAAAAGAATTCATCTACTTCGTGTGGATTCCCGACTATCCGTGACACAAGTCGTGCTTGTTATAGATTCGCTTCCGCTTAGGAGAAACCCGTAAGTCTCTTAAACTAGTATATTTTTTTATTAAATACTACATGGACAATTGACATGAACATCATTTAATTTCATCTTAAAGAATATACATTTCATAGTCGTATACATTTTTAATAAGATAACATTGTACATACATGTTCAAGAAAGACGCCATCTAAAATGATACAATTTTACAATTGCAGGCCTTTGCGTATGTCATCCTGATGAAAAAGGCTATAATTTGATGTACGTATTGAATTCAAAGAGGCCTCCCTTAATGGTCTGAACCTGAAGTTTGATAATTTCAGGCCACCATTATTCTACATGAATTCACAAAACCACATACTCCTAGCTGAACTTGACACTGCTTGTGTAATATCGTCAAAGATATCACCTTGAATCCACAGGTGTGGGGAACCAACATTGATTTAGTTGCCACGTTTAGGCTTCCTGAAAAGGACTTGGATCTGTTCAGCACCATTGGGCTTCTTTTGTTGACAATGCTCGACCCATTTTCTTTGGTTACTGGCTTAAGGCTCGAGAGAAAACCATTTTGTTTCTCTTTAGAATAAACTGGTTCAAAGTTATCTTCTGGTCGCTTATCCTCCAGAGCATTCAAGATTGGCCTCTCATCATGTTCCACTTCAGAGATTTTCTTGGCCTCGTTAAGGAAGCCAATAGCGCGCCATGCATCTGCAACAAGCTGAAAAGTATTATTCGTGGGAGGCACTCCCATCTTTTCCATAATTTGGAGGAACTCTTCAGCTTTCCATGGTTGTTTTGCTTCTCCATAACCCCATATGAGGGTCTCAAAGGTTTTCAAGTTTGGGGAAACATCCATTTTGGACATCGTTTCAAATACCCTCAGAGCATACTCCATTTTTCCAGCGCTGCACCATCCACTGATAATTGTCGTGAACATTACAACATTTGGATGTACACCTGATGAAGCCATAACTTTCAAGAGCGCTTCAGCATTTTCAGGTTCTCCAGCACGCACATAGCCTTTAGCAAGAATGCTGAATGCGTGGCTATCAGGTTCTATACCGGCCTTAATCATGTCATCAAATATCTCTTGGCATTTATCCATAAGTCCAGCTGAACTCCATGCATTCATGATAGTACTAAATGTTATCACATCTGGTTTCACTCCAAACTCTTCCATCAATGTAAGTGTCTGCACATTTAAATCAATGAATTAGAAACATGTCATGTTCAGAATGACGTGGCACTCTTTCTTTTGAAGGCTTGAAGCTACACTACATTACAATAGAGCGAGTTTTACCTTTTTTTAATAGGCTTGGTATCAAGGGGTACTTGGTCTTTGCATGTGAAAACTGATACTAATACATGCAAAACTAAAATTACCAATATGTACACGTAAAGGAGTAATAATAATGGTTGTTACATTAAGAAGTTCCTAAAATTACACAATTTAATGTTCAGTAAATTGCTGATATAAAACCAATATGGGTGCATACCTCATCAACCCCATTAGTATCAGTGATGTCGAGAAAGCCTTTGATAAGAGAGTTGAATATTACTAGATTAGGATGTACACCAAGATCCTTCATCCTGTAAACAAACCTTAATGCTTCTGTCATATTACCCTCTTTACAGTACCCATCCACGATAATACCACTTGTTCGATGATTTGGTGCCACTTTGTGATTTTGCATTTGAAAAATCATTGCTTCAGCTCTAGCAGTCTCCTTGTTCCGAGCATAAGCCGTTGCTATAGTATTGTAAGTAACAACATCAGGTTTTACACCAGCTGCAACCATTCTGTGAACCACATTCCAAGCTTCTGCAATTTTGTTTTTGTTACACCAAGCTCTAACCAGAATATTATATGTTCTGTCATTAGGTTTCACATTCTCTTCAAGAGACATAATTTCCAACAGTTTGAGAGATTCTTCAGGCTTACCAATGATTCCAAACCCTTTAATCAATGTATTATAAGTGCTGGTTGTGGGCTTACATCCTTTCTCCCTCATTTTCTGGAACACTTTCATTGCCTCCTTAACATTTCCGGATTCTGAAAAAGCATTTATCATGGCATTGAAGAATATGGAGTCGGGTTTTAGTCCATTTTGCTCCAATTTAGAGAGAAGCAACGGAATAGACTTGAAACGTTTCTGGAGAGTCAAGGCAGCCAAAACAGTTGTATATGTCACAAGAGTTGGCCGATGTCCTTCTTCGGTAAGACCCTTGAGAATTGAGTGGACCTCTTGTGGCTTTTTCCTCTCAATCAAAATATTCATCAGTTTTGTTCTTGAGCGAACAATGTGGCAACTCGTACTTCCCCAGCAGGCAGTGCAGCGAGATTGACGTGGAGAATTCGCCGTAGCTGAAACAAGAGGAGCTTGGTTTTCATGTAGATGAGATTCCTGCAGTTAACAGAGAGCTTAAAACATATATATATATATATACAAGAAATAAACTGGAACAACCAAGATGTAATCAAAATCCATTCAGTTGTGTGCCCAATACCATGGTGGAAGATGCAAAAATCTTCGACTTGCTCGAACTTGTTCCGTTCTTCTTTTTCTCAAAAATGATAGAATTGGCTACCTCATTTCCAAATTCTCCCATATTTTTCTTTTCCAATTCTTAATTTTACTGCTGCTTATGAAGATAGCAATATAATTGCCTCTATTTATATATCCCGCAGAAGTTTACTGCTGCCTCAAGGAAATTTTTCCTGCAAAATGGAGACTTATTAAGGGTGTGTTTGGTATGAAGGAAAATATTTTTCAATTTTCCTATGTTTGGTTGGCTTAAATGTTTCGGAAACATTTTCCTCCACCTATCAAAAGAAGGGAAAATATTTTCCAAAACTCTTTTTCAACCTTCCCCACTCTATTCCCCATCCTCACGACCCCACTACCTTATACAGGAACATGAAGAAGGAAAATTCATAAAACTAGGGATGTTGGGGGTGGGGAGTAAATTTTAGAGGAAATTTTCAAAACTCTTTTCGGTAAGTAAAATGTTGAACAATTAAAAAATTGAATGAGGCCACAGCCCCAACCTTCCCCTAGTCCATCTAGCTTTACCCTTGGCCATGCTTGTATTGTAAAAAATTCATAAAAAGGTATTCAGTGTGATCCAGTTGGGCCACAACATCTTTATTCAAAAGCGAAACTTGGCTAAGTAAGGACAAAATCAAGCTTTAGATGCAGTCGTTAGGAAAAAAGAGCAGCTGCCCTGTATCATGTTTGCACAATTGTATGCAGTGGTTGTGCAAAGTAACTAAGCTCATAGTGATCCTCAGTGACAAGATTTCATTTATGTGCAATTTTACTTTTATCTACTATTCATGCTAGACACTAAAGTAATTAGTTAATCTCCAAACTGTCAGGAATTTGCACAGTTATCTTGATAGCAATATTAGACTTAGCATAAAGTGCCAGACAAGGAAAAACATTAACCTATTGATAAGAAGGGGTTGACATCACAAGAGATGCTGAACTATAAATTCTTGTCAACAGCTAGTGTCAATTACTTCATAGGACAGATGATCCATGAATTTAGCAACAAACTGAGATTCCTTGCTCAAGAAATAAATTTGTAACTTCGAGTTCTGTGACTCACTTTATTATGCTACTGAGTTCAATTATAGTGCTTAAAAATCTAAAGTTTTCACCCATTATACAGTACGAGAAGATCCAACCACAAGAGGAGCCCAACTAAACAAGATCACAAACAATTACCATTATACAGATAAAGCTAATTCAGTAGCAGAAACTTGAGATGGGTTAAGGGTGGAGGGGACTTACCTGTTTAGTGTGAGGAGAGAATAGTTGCATGGTTGCAGAGTTAGAATCAGCATGTAGGACATGGGCATTTGTTGGTCCGATCTTATCCGCAAATTTTATCTGAAATCACAAAAGGAAGCTCCAGATTTCTTCTTCTATTGAATTTTGAATCAATACCTAAATTTACAAAGTCTAATTTTTTGTGGATTAGTATTTTGCCACGTCATTTTACTTTAGTTTCTTCTGTTATCATTTTTTCTTTTCTATCGGCATATCATACGCACATTTGTATGGCAGGTGAAACCAAAGTTCGGGAAAAGGCCCAAAATTGGACCAACACACAAAATAAATCTATTTTATTATGAGATTTTTTCATAAAGCACCATCTTTTAGTTCTAATTAGTCATTTATAGATACCTTTTGCTACATTACTTGTTATAGATACCTTTTATATTTTTATATAATGTATTTTATGTATTTAAGCAGTTGTATTCATTAATACAACCAAAAAAAATGGGCGTAAAAACGGGAACTCCAGCTAAGGGGTATCTGTATTTATCTATATTCAAGCTGAATACAGATAAAATTCAGTAACGTTTTTGCGCAAATTCTGGGAAGTTAAACTTGTTAAAAACGGAAGGAAATAAATTCACATAATAGTCTCCTAATTTAACTCAAAGAAATAATACGAGTACACGATAATCTACTCAAAGAAAGTAGAATAATCTTCTCCCTTTTTTCGTGAAAAGAAGCAAAAAACAGAGCATCCAAATTCTTCAATTCTCTTCTCCTTTTTTCGATTGATACAAATTATATACAAAATAAGTTATAGTTGCTCTATACATATGGCAAGTTTAACACGTCATTCTGGCAAGTGGAACGATGAGGGCAATTATATCGATTTTGCAATTGAGGGAATACTGATTAAGGAGTATGCCTCCTTTAATGATCTAGTTGCTTCAATTTCTAATCAACTGGGTATAGATTTGAGCTCAAAGACCATTAAAATACAATACAAAGTAGAAGGAAATTGCGCGCCAATGGAAATACACAATGATATGGGTTACAGAGTGTATGTAGAATTGAAAAAAGAGAACAGAGAATTTGGAATGTATCCTTTGTGCGTAACTACTATCGAAAAAGAGCTTATAGACGGAGCAGTTCAAAGGTACGATTCCGGTACTGATAATACACTGGCTATAGAATTTGTCAATTCAGGAGAAGCGATTGGAGTGTTCGAACTCCACAAGGATTTGATAATTTCAAAAACCAATCAAAAGGAGGTTATGGCTGGACAAGTTTATAAGGATAAGGTTACATTGAAAGAGGTGATGGAGAATTATGCTATAGCTCAAAGGTTTCAATTCCGGGTTGATCGATCTAATACTGTTAGGTTTGCTTTTTGTTTAAATTTGTTGTATTTATGCGTATTTGTGTGTTTCCTCCTGATGAACACATATGAAAACATATATTTGTTTAGGGTGCTTAAATACATGTATTCAAATGTATTTTAATGGTGTACAAACACAACAGTGGCTCTAATTATTTTCTTATTTTGTCTACTGTGGTATTAAGTGTTTGCATATTCATACAAGTGTATTCAGTTGTATTCATTGTGTTTGAACGCATGTAACTATATTGGAATTCAGTAGTATACAAAATTATATATACACTTGTGAATTTGTTAACATGTATTCAGGATGTATATATGTCAGATTCTATTTGTCTGATGTATGAGCTGTATTTGTTGTAAACAAGTATGCTAATCAAATGTTAAATGATTAATTCTTTGCAGCTATGCATTATTATGTATTTCAGAAGATTGTGAATGGAGGTTTAAGGCTTCAAGCATTAACAAATCAGAACTATTCAAGGTGAGAGAATTCAATGATAACCATACATGTCCGCTGAAGGATAAGGTGTACGAGCAGCGGCAGGCTAGTAGCAGCCTTATAGGTGGTATTATAAGGCCAAAGCTTACAAACCATAAGAGGAAATACACTCCGAGGGACATTATTGACGATGTGAAATCAGATTTAGGTGTAAATGTTAGCTACATGTTGGCGTGGAGGGCTAAAGGAAAGGCAATGAATTTTCTTAGAGGTGAACCGGCTGATTCATACAAAAAATTACCAGGATACTTATATACAATGGATATGATATATCCAGGTTCCCACATCAGAATGGTAAAATCGCCAAAGAATGAATTCATGTACGTGTATATATCATTGTATGCCTTTATAAGGGGGTTTGATCATTGTAGACCAATTGTTGTTGTGGATGGAAGTCACCTAAAATCTTACTACACCAGGACATTCGTTTCGGCAAGCACGTTGGATGGTGCAGGTGAGTATCTGAATAATAATACAATCTGTTAATATTTTAAATATTGAAATACATGTATTAAGAAATAATTATATTCAATTGTATTTACAGGTCATATATTGCCACTAGCATATGGTGTTATTGATTCAGAGAACGATGCTGCTTGGACGTGGTTCTTTGAGCAATTCAAGATAGCATACGGTGTAAGAGAAAACATGTGCATCGTTTCAGATAGAAATGAGAGTATCATTAAATCTGTATCGAGAGTGTATCCGGATGTACCACATTTTGCTTGTATATGGCATCTGTGGAACAACGTATATAAGCAATTCAAAAAGAGCCATGCCAAGTTGAGCGAGATATACTTTTCGATGGCAAAAGCATACACAGAAGCTGAATTTGACAGTCTAATGGAGAAGGTGGAGAAGGTAGATATTAGGGTGAAAGAATACTTAGAGTTAGCTGGTTACGAAAAGTGGGCTACATTGTATGCACCTGTTAACAGGGGATGGACAATGACGTCAAATATTTCTGAGTCAATCAATGCCGCACTAGTTACAGCAAGGGAATTGCCAATATACGACTTCCTCGAAGAAGTTAGGAAGATGTTTGGATGTTGGAATTGTAGTAACTGCAAAGAAGCTACACAGACATACAAGATGCTTGGGAAAAAATACCAGGAGATGCTGGAGTTGAATGAGAGAATGTGTACACGTATGACTGTAAGTTAAATTTTACTGTCATTGCTGTATATATTTTTAGTTAATTTCTGAATTACTGGCATGAATACAACTGAATACAATCATTTTTAAGTAGAACTACCATTAATATATATGAATGCAACTACATTCAAGCACATAACATGCATATTTTTCCATAGATCTGATATGAATACAACTGAATATAACTAAGTTACATGCTGAAAAAACTATTGGAATACATCAGAATGCAACTAGCTATATGATATGTAATTTTTATATGTATTGTGAATACGTATGATTATAATGCTTTTGTTAGCATACTGTTGCCTAAACTACAGCAGACTTTTGATAAGTTCTGCACTTCTCGCAGATGACATTTTGCTGGTCTAAAATATATGATGTATTCATATATATGCAAATGTTTCTGTTATATGTAACTTATTAATTCAACATTATACATTTGGTAATTCAGGTAAATGTGCTCAAAACTTATATTTCTATTTTTAAATGTAGGTGGTACCATCAAATGAATATTTACATACGGTTAACGATGGTGGGGGGAATTACACAGTCTGCCTGTTAGAGAGAAAATGTGTTTGTGGGAGGTTCCAAATTGATGAATTGCCATGCCCACATGCTTGGGCTGTATTGAAGAGCAAGTTTCTAATGCCAGAAGAATATTGCTCTAACTATTACAAACCAAGTACAATTGTAATGACATACGATATGCCAGTGTACCCGCTACCGGACAAAAATGACTGGAATATACCAGAACATGTAGCAGAGGAGGTTGTACTACCACCCAAATGGAAAAGACCTCCTGGAAGGCCAAAGAAGAAGCGCGATAAAACTTTAAGTGAACTGTTGCAGCCGAAAAACCAACATTCATGTAGCATATGTGGGCAGGGAGGACATAACAAGCGAACATGTAGAAATGCTCCACGTAATAAATAGTTGTATTCTGACATGTATTGGTGGTTAACGATTTGTCAATACTTATGATGACATTAGCAGCTATCTCTTTGTCAAGTAATATATATTGAAATGACTTTCGTTAATATTTCTGGAATACATTTAGTTGAAGAATTTGTATACAGATAAATATATATGAAGTATATAGTAAATTTAATACACCAAAATACAACTGAATACATCTGAATAATACATTTAAATATAACTAGCTAATACTGAATAATACACTTAAATACAACTGAGAACATCTGAATATATATGACTACGTACAACCTGTTGTATACATCTGAAGTTGTGTTCTGTCATATGTATTATATGAACTTGAAAGATATATCTGAATGGATGCAGCTGAATACAATTAAATACAACTGAAGATAAGCAGGAATACTTATGAATAAACCAGTGAAACTGTCATTGAACAGTTGCAATTGTCATACACGAACAAAAATGTATAAGTGATAAGTTTTTAAAACTAAATAGCATCTACACTCAAAACTACTCAAAACAGTATCCTGAATAATATATATGAAGTATATAGTAAATTTAATACACCAAAATACAACTGAATACACTTAAATAATACATTTAAATACAACTAGCTAATACTGAATAATACACTTAAATACAATTGAGTACACCTGAATACATATGACTACGTACAACCTGCTTAATACATCTGAAGTTGTGTTATGTCATATGTATTATATGAACTTGAAAGATATATCTGAATGGATGCAGCTGAATACAATTGAATACAACTGAAGATAAGTAGGAATACTTATGAATAAACCAGTGAAACTGTCATTGAAAAGTTGCAATTGTCATACACGAATAAAAATGTATAAGTGATAAGTTTTTAAAACTAAATAGCATCTACACCCAATACTACTCAAAACAGTATCCTTCTTGAAACTACACTCCAAAACTAAAATAACCTAAAGCTATTCTAAATCTATCTGCAACTTTGCCTCCGACTCAATGATTTGCCTAGCAATCTTTGAAGGTGCTTCATTCTCGCTTATGGCATCAGCGTCTATCTTGCGCATAGCATAGTCCCAGAGGAGAGCACCATATCTTTGACGGAGTAGAGTGGAGTCAAATGTTGTTTTTGGAATCTCTCCAATAGTGCTCAGAAACTCTGCATATGCTGCAACATGCACTCC